AAAGAACTTTTGTAAAAGCTTACACTTCTTAATAATAGTCGTAAGTAGTTGGTTATTACAAATAAAAAAAAGAGAATGTGTTCGGGTTTCCGGTGAACAATTCAGAAAACTTTTCAAGCCGCACTTCATCTGTCTCTCTCAATCTCATTTTTCCATGAAAAACTACTTTTTAGGGCTAAGAGGATAATTTTTAGGTTTTTCACTATTTGCAGTATGTGGTTTTAAAACGGTGATTTTTTTAATTATAACATAAGTTTACAATAGAAGCTTCAGCCGCTATTTATTCTATAATCGCATGAATGGAACATCGTTAAAAGTTACGGAGATGGCTAAACTACGGAAAGAAAGATTTTTATTTGGGAGAAATGCTGTAGTTAGGGCGTAAGAAAAAATTAAATTGCTCGTAATCGTCTCCAAAAACCTTTGCAACTTTTAGACCGCTACATTTTTCTCAGTGCCTTGAAAAGGGAAATGTTTGCGGAACAGGACAAAATAACTATCAAATACAAAGAGAAATTGTGTTTTATTTCGTTTCATAACCAAATTTTTTTATTTTAGTTGGTGATAAGAAGCTTTTGTTCTTAAACGGCACATTGTTTGAATCAATTGACGTGATCTACCTTACAATATTTTTTGTAGTTTAAAAACTTTATGCCTAGACTATGTATGTGCCTTTTACAAAAATTATGATGATGCAGGTCTAAAATTCATTTCTTTTATGAAAGCATGTAAAATTCTTGTAACTATCCATCAACCATTCATTATTCAACGGGTACCTTACATTTAAAAAGTTGAACTCGGGCAATGATTACATTACGTTATAAAGAGTCACTTAGCTTCTTTTCATTCTAATTTAAGTAAGATTCACAAATGAATAAGTGTCTTCAAGTTTGAACATTTAGAAAGTGTTTTTAGGATCACGTTACTTTCTGCTGAAAAGCTCCTTCAGCTCAACCGCCAGTAGTGTACTGTTTTGGTATTTGGCTTTTTCTGAACATCAGAGGTTTTAGTGCAAGTGAAAGAAACCACTGAAAAATATTTTATGATTGCACAAGTCTTGAAATTTTCACATTCGGTTTCCGACTTCATTCTAGCTTGGTGCCCTCATTACGCTGATTGGCTGTGAGTAGTACAGCCAATCAGCAGATTGCATCTTTGATAC